TCCAATGCAATACATCACCCAATTGATCCTGCAATTACAAGATAAAACAATTACTAGTTTGTCTAATGTATAATACAGCCAAAGACCGAAATTGAACCTGAGTGATCCATCAAGCTGTGGCATAACGGAGAAGCTAAAAGTCTTAAGAATCTTTCCTTTCAGATTAATGTCATAACAAATAAAAAGTTAAAACCTCTACTGGTTGAAAATTCTCTAAGCTTTTAAGATAACAACAGCAATTCTTAGGAACATGTTCCTGTGTATTTTTATAACTAATCTGGGTGATGACACAAAGCTCGAGAGAAGCTCACATGTGTTAAGAGTTTATTGGAAAGCTGATAAAACCATCAGAAAGGTCTGGAATATAATTCATGCTGCAACATTTTGGTGTATTTGGACTGAGAGGAACAAAAGATGTTTTGATCGTTCCTCAACTCCCATTCATGCTCTTCAAGACAAATGCTTAGTTTACCTTTTCTGCTGAACAAAGTTCTCCACAGTATCTAACACTGAAGAGTTTTAGGATTACATTAGTACTAAGGAACAAATGTATAGGGGCCTGCAATTCTTTTTTGTTTTTTTGCCTACTAGTAATCACGCCCCTGTAATTATGCATCTACTTGATGCTTTCTTAATAAAGCAACTTACTTCAATAAAAACAACAGCAATGGTTGAACAGTAAATACAGTTATAGCTACTTGTAACTGTAATCTATGCAGTTTTGTGAAGAGCAACCATAAAACTTGAATAAATCACACAACAAAAACTAAAAAAAAAAAAAAAAGAACTTTGCAAGTCTTACTCACTCCAAATCTCCCATAAAACACTACAATGAAATCAAAACCTTAATAATAAGGACTTTTCTATTTGTGGGGTTGTTAGATTCACAATTTATATCTCAGATATGCAAGAATTTCTATTATTAGTTATGAGGAAATCTAGCAGAAACAAAGAGCCGGTTATACATTAAAAATCGGGAATCAGCACATCAATATAAGATTAAACAATGCGCAATAGTTGAAGAAAGAAACAAGTAAAAATCAAACCTTATCCCAAGAAGCTTCGGGATCGAAAAGCTGTCTGAACTTTGATAAGTGACCATTCTGATGTTGGTCTTCCTGTTGAACATCGGAATTTGATTTCTTCCTCTGTCTCATCGTGAACAAAATAGAAAACAAATGTTAAGTTGAGTAAATTTTTAGGGTTTTCGATGAAATCGACGACGGTGAGAATTAATATGAAATTAGGAATAATATGATTGTAGATCTAGATTTTATATAAATGATTAGACATAGATGGAGAATGCAACAATGTTTGGTTGTTCTACTTCGGCTATAATTCTTTTTCTTTTTTTGGGTACAATTTTTTTCTTGATGGGCACGTGCTACGGATCTTTTTGGAGTTTTGGTTTATATGGACTTTATTTAAGTGCTTTTCCAAATAGGATGTGGTTTGAAGTTTGAACTTTGACCCAATGGTGTACATTGGTAAATTAAAGTGTAAATCTAAAAATCTATTTATTTATCATGATTAAATAATAAAATAAAAATAGATATTAACTAAACAAGATTAGGTGATTTATCATGTTTTGCATTAATCAAATGATTAATGTGAGCTTCTTGGTTATGTTATTTGATATAGATAAAGTGATTGTCGTTTTAAAGGAAATTTGTTACATCATAATTTACTTGAATTAAGATACATTAGGTTAACACGATCATTTTCCGTTTAGGCACGATCCTATGTCATTGTTTCATTTATATGAATCAACGAGGTTCAAATGATATATGTTATATGCTTGTCACATGTCACATTCTATATACATGATCATCACCTATTCATGCTCTACTGGTTTTCCTACTTCACTTGTCTATAAGTTTCTAACACTTGTTACTACTCCTTATGAGTTGAGTGTCTATGCTGTCTCTCATGGTAGAACTTGTCTTCACTTGGAATGTATATATGACCCACATGGTATATTTTTCATGTATCACTTTCTAAAGAACTACCATCACTTTCATGTATCACTTTCTAAAGCATAGTAATACTTATTATACTTTGTGATAGTTGTTTGATTACTTTTGTGGTAATTAGGCGCTAAAATGGAGTATGATTGTATAAAAACTATAAAGGGATTGGTTAAAGGGAAATGAAAGCTAAGAAAATTACTTATTCCGTTCCATATTAGTTGATGACCTTATGTAAAGTAGTTGTCTCATATTAGTGGTTCATCTTACTAAATTAAGAAATCATGAATTAAAATTTTCATATATTATCATTAATTGCAATTAATTTTTCTTGAAAGTATTTACATTTGTTTGTAAAATTCCCAAAAAGTTTTTAAGGGGTGAGTTAGTAAAATTATCTTTTTATTTATGATTTATTAATATGTGTGTAAAAAGGAAAATGATCAACTAATATAGAACAAGGGGAGTATCAGCCTCCAAAGAAGAGGACTCTGATTGTCACTATAAATAACTAGGGGTGTCAAATGGGCGGGTTTGATTGAAATTGAAGATATTAAAATAGATTGAAATACAAGTTGAATTGGGTCATGACCCGCTCAATTTTACTCGCTTAATCTCAACAATTTTAACATATTGTTATTTAACTTTTGTAACTACATTTTGAACTCCAACACAAGAATATATATATTTTTTGTAAAAAGTTACAAATGGATAGATAAATCTTAGAAGTTATAAAACAGATAATAATTCATACCTTCATTAGAGGAACATACATTACATCAATGCAAATAAAGAATCTTAAAATAAGCTATAATTGGAGATTAAGTTGGGCTCAATTGAAAATTCTTTTAAAATGTGTTAAGACTTGAATTGCTAAGAACTTAAGATTGAATCAATTCAAATTATCTTGAGCCCAACTCATAAAATTCTGGGCGGGTTATCTATATTTGGGGGCTCATTTTGACACCCCTATATATATACAATTTAAATAAAATTCATAGTGTTAGGAGCTAATTACATTATTTCCCTAGTCTTTTGCAAATTTAAAAAATCCTTTAAAATTTATGAATTTTGGATAGACTTTCGGATACATCAACAGACATCCGGATACATAGAGGAAGGATGTATCCGAGAGGAGAGGGATGTATCAAAGATGGGAGGAAGGATGTATCCGAGAGGAGAGGGATGTATCAAAGATGGGAGGAAGGATGTATCCCAGAGGAGAGAGATGTATCAAAGAGGGGATAATACATCCAGATATATCCAGATACATAGGGAAGGAATGTATCCGAGAGGGGGATAGAGATGCATCAGCGAGAGGAAAGTGATGTATCGAGAGGAGGCTTTTTTTTTTTAATGATAGAAATTTTTAGAGATTATGATAAAATAAAATGTGTATTTATTCATTCAATACTTGACTACTCGTTATAAGTTTCGTACGTAGGCGGAGTCATGATTTTTTAATTAAAGAGTTTAGGATTAAAAAATTCTTTTACTTAATGAGCTTACATCGATTATTTATTATACATATAAATGAATTTTCACATACAAATAATTTTAAAAAAAAACGAAAAATGGATTAACAAGAAAAGATTAATGAAAAAGAACCCATAACAAACCTTTCAAAATTTTACTGGACTTATAGGACAGTGTTGAGAACAAAACAAGGTTTATCCATTATTTTGTCGAAATTAAGGGCATTTTTTATTTTATTTTAGTGGATAATCTGTCTCTAAACACACACCTCACCTTCAAATTTTACCCACGAGAGGTTTTTTGTTATCCCTTAATTTCTATTTACCCTTCTTTCACTAAAAAACCTCCCAACAAATCGAACTCAACTGTAAAAAACCAGTAAAACCCCCAATTAAAAACTACTTTAATCCTTAATCATCAATAATTATTTTTATCCCTTTTTAACCACCTGCGAGTTTTTTCTTTTTTGGATAAGAAAGTATCGGTAATCCGTTTTTCTCTACCATAAATCGACAAGTGTCAAATAATATTTTTATTTTTATTTTTACAGTTTCATCTTTAAAATTTCATTAATAGAAAATAAAATCTACTAAATAAATGGTTTAAACAACTCTCAGAAAAGAAAAAAAAATACTTATTTGCGCTCAATGCACGCAACAGACACAAAATCATTAATTAGTGTATGGCATGCTTACCTAAATTCCATCATTTAACACACATTTAACACATTTATCATTAATATATATCATTATCTCGATTTACTACTTTATCATAATAAATTAACATAAATTGTTTTAGAAAAGACATTGTCAAAAATAGGAAAAATACACATCTCTAACTTAACAAGAACAATAACATATACTCACCGAAATCTCATTAACAGTCGAGTATTGAAACTACCACTTAATTTGCAGCGAATTACTAGTTTTATTCTTAAGCTATTGACAATTTTAAAAATATCTCTTTACTTGATTGACTGAACTTAAATACACCCCTTATCTTGTCACATTAGTGAAATACATCTCTTATAAGTTCTCGGCAAATTTAGCAGTGTTTTCAACACTTCTTTCGACTTTTTATTAAGAGTCTCATGAGACAATTTGCTATGTTATGTGACATATCAGAGATGTATTTAAGTTTAACTAGTCAAGGTGATGAGTGTTTTTAAGGATGTCAATAGCTCATGAACGAAACTAACAATTTACGCTAAGTTCAAGAGTGTTTTCAATAATTTTCTATTTAATTTATAAGTGGTCAAGAACATTTCTACATCTCTAATCAAGTGAAGAATACTAATATTATATTAAAACATGTTTAATTAGTGAAGTCATCTAGAAGTAATTTTCTACAATAAAATGACAAAAACACCCAAAAAAATTCAAAGAAAAGCTTCTTGGTTCAGTTTAGAGTTTGTTGGACTACTGGTTTATCAGAACCTTTGTGCTGGTATTTTTATTTATTATTTTTTTATTTTGATAAATTAAAAAAAAAAAAAAAAGTTTCCCTGGCTTTGGTGACTCAACGTTTTTCTGTTGATGGATTTGTTGTCCCACGTGGCATGATCTACGTCCAACCTGACAGATTTTATATGGGCCCACCATTTGTCGAGTAACCGGGTCTTCAGGTGGTTTCTGCCTGTGACAGAAACCTGGTACTGCCCAGTGCATTTACCGTTACAGCCAGTAACTGTATAAGAAGTGGGGGTTTAAGACAAAACATGGCTGCTTTTCTCAGGGTTTTTCTCCATCATCACATTAAATTATGGGGTACATCTTTTTTTCATTTCTCATCTTCTATTTTGTTTTTCTATCATCATGGGTGATTTTGGTGTCTTTAGATATAAATTTTGTGTTTTTTAAGGTGGGGTTGTTTGTTTCTTGTTGTTGATTTGTTCCCAAATTCATGAAGTTGCAATCTTTGCTTTAACAACCTGGTTTTCTTGAAGAGAAAATTCTCAAGATGGTTAGAAGAAGAATGCTTTTCTTAAAGGTTTTTCTGTGACTAAAACAGAGTAATTTGGAATTCTCAACTGTCAACCTTTTCTCTGAATTTGGAAAATCTTGTTGTGTACATTTCTTGGATCCAAGTGGGGGTTTTTATTTTTGAAAATTTAATTCAGGGTATGTTGGATTAGATCTATCTATCTTTCTGTTGTTTTAATTTTGTTGATCCAACGCTTTGTTATTGTGGGGTGAGGGTTGGGGGTGGAGTAGGCAGGGGCAGGGGAAGGGGCAGGGCAGAAGGGGTTAATCTAACCCGTTCCCGGAAAATCTTGCTGTATATACAAGATTTGGGCGGGGGGTTTAGTTTCCTCTTTTTAAATTTGTACAATTTCCTTAAAAATGCTTTCTTTATCCCTTTAAACAAACGATGCATGGAAGAGGGTTCTATGTATGTTCTTTCTTGGTGTTGAGAGTTTCTAGCATATCCTTATTTTTTTGCATTGCATATGGATATTGTGCTTATGATCGTTCGTTCATATTGATTTGAGATGGATCACGTGGATATGGTATGGATATGGTACGAGTAAGATGCATAAGACCAGACTTTGTGACTTATGTGGGTGGTTTGATTCATATATCGCCTTTATTCCGACTCATCATGAAAAATGTTGTGTTGGAATGTCTATATGCTTCTTGTCATTCTTATTGTGTGTTGATCTGGTAATGGCTGTTTTCATCTTTTCCCAAATTTTGATGTAGGAAATAAGTAACCTCAGTGCATTTTTCATACTCGCTTTTGTTTTTTTATCTATTTACGGGAGAGGAGGACCTTACAAAACCATAGAGATCTTGCTAATCAAAGTAATCCCGTTGAATGTTGGAATAGGACTATGACATCAGTCAATTTTGTAGTGATCAAGCAGCCAATCATGGTTGAAATATGTACTTTGAGCTGTGTATTTAAGATGTGAAGCTTTCATTTACTTGGAAATCTAGCAGAACTTAGGGTATAACAACAAGCTAGATATAATTTAAACATATCAGATCGTAATCTATTATCCCCAATATCTAGGTTGATAACCATATCAATAAATGAAGATTATGAAACTGAGGATTTGGTTTGGCATAAAATTCTGCAATACAAAGGTGTAGTTTTGTTGGATTTGTTTCTACTGGCATCTGGTGCTTTATCAAATATTGGTGATTCTGTTATTTTTCCTTTTTTTCCCCTGGAATCTGAATTGAGAGAATTTCAACTCTAGGATCCTTTTGTTCCGATTTAGTTTTGATTTTACATATTTTTCTTGTGATTAACTTAATGTTATCTTATTTAAATGTCTTGAATTATAATGCTTCTTTTGCAGGTCTTTTCTTTCTTAGATTATTTGGTGCAGTTCACCGCAAAAGTTGTGTAACATGATGTTTTTACACTGTAAATTTGGGCAAAAAATCTCTGTTGTTTTGTGTTCTTCGGATCTTTCTTGGTATGGTTGATGAGATATGGTGTTGCAAAAGAGGTTAGATTATGGATTCAATGGCTATCAGGTGCCTCCTATACCTCGAGCTACCAGATCGCTTAGGGTAATCTTGCTTTTTTTTCAGATGCAATATTTGTCTTATTAGTATATTCCTCTGCTATAGAGACACGTATCTTGATCTTATTTCTCTGTCAATTTCTTAGAGAAGGGGTATTATTAGGAGGAAAGCTGATGGCAATGGAACTTGTCCCTTTGACTTGTTAGCTACTGTAGCTGGCAAGTTACTGGGGGAGGGAGAGAGCTCGCCTGATTCTACAGGTTCTGTTAGAGGGAAGGAGCAAGGTGCAATTGTGAAAGATGAAAAGGTAAAAGAGGCTGAGGATAGATCTCTAAAAGAAAAATCTTATACTGAAGGCTGTTATGAACGAGGCTTCTTCATTTCTGAGCTTGTCTCACAAGCTCCAGTTGTAAATCGTTCTTTAAGCGAACTGCCACATGTTCAAAATGATACGATCTCTAGACCTGCATCTGCCAGTATGAGTTCTGATTGCTCTGAGAAGTTACTCTCTGCTAAACAGTTTGTAAATGGTGAAAGCAGCGAGGAACATGAAAACTTTTCTTCGAAGACAGAACGGGAGGCTTCTGGCTGTGGAGTCTTTTCCAGTTGTACATTAGACACTGAAAACGATAAACAGATGAAAATTGAGCTGTCAAATAAAGCTAAAGTTTCTACTGATAAGGGGGCTGCAATTTCCAGTTCAAAGTTCCCTGATGTTTGGGATAAGAAACCTCCAACACTTGTTACTTCAGATGAAAGTGTAAAATTATCTCTGTCTACATATCCTGCTCCTTGTAGGTCCTTTCCGATGATTCGGAATGCTGTAAAGTTAGCTAATAAAGATGATGACGAAAACTCTGGGTGCACTCAACCTAGCACCCCAAATAAGGCCTCCGGGGCAGCACCACGTGTACGAGATCGGCCAATTAAGAAATTACTAGCTTCCAAATATTGGGAAGAAAATCTTAAATCTGATGATGAGGGTCATGCCAATTCTGGTAAGTGTTTACTCCCTCTGTTTCAATTTTGTTTGTCTTAACAACTTACACCAATCTTGTCTTAACAACTTACTCTATTGATGTAATGTTCATTCATAGTGGCCAGGCGGACCGTCTGGATGATGTCTCTTTCTTTTTTGATAACTCTTTAATTTCAACTTTTCACATGACATGTTTAAGCACAAGATTAAAGGAATTCTTGGTACATTCTACATATCTTCAATTTAGGACCACAAAATTTAATAGTCTTCTTTACTTTCATAAACTCCGTCCCAAGTCAACACCAGCCAAACAAATTGAAACGGAAGGAGTATTATTTATGCAACCCTTCATGTTCAATTGCTTAGGAGTTTGACATGAAGAGGACTTTTCCAGGTGCGAAAACAATGCATGTTTACTACAACAGAAACATTGGCTACAAGCACCAGAGGTCTCAGAGGGATTTTCCTTTCAAGAAAAGAAAGCTCTTTAAATGTGGCTCGTTCTCCAATTCCGAAGGAGAGATGAGTACGGATGGAATAAGTAGTTCTCCAACAAATGACTTACATGGAAATGCTTCCGGTAGTAGTAAAGCATCTTCAGGAGGTATGTTCTCTTCATAGTTCACGCCTTCATACAACAACATGCACATGACTATGCATAAACGTGTATGTGTTTGATTCCTATTGATACTTAATTTCCCTCTGCATATCGACTCTGACAGGCTGCGCAGCGGCTGGAACATCAGTTTTTAATGGAGGTCGTGAGTTCCTCAGGCCTGGTGATTCCCATGGTGAGAGGGCCTTCTTTCGGAGTCACCACATGAACTCTTTTGTACCCCTCGCTCCTTCATGGTTCTAACATGGATTTTTTCCTTTCGTGCAGTTAAGTTTAGAATTAAGTCCTTCAAGGTTCCTGAGCTTTTTGTTGATATTCCGGAAAATGCAACTATTGGTTCTTTAAAGGCATGTGAAAGCATTACCTTCAAATACTAATCCACTTTTCTTAATTAGGATTATATCATCAGTATTCCATCCTTTTTTTTTTTTAATTTCAATGTGGAAAAGCACTATTCATGCTTCTAATATTTTGCAGAGGACTGTAATGGAAGCAGTGACTGCTATACTTGGTGGTGGACTACGAATCGGTGTGGTTTTTCAGGGTAAGAAGGTTAGAGATGATAACAAAACCTTGTTACAGACTGGAATATCTCACGATTACAAGCTTGATGCTCTGGGCTTCTCACTCGAGCCCAATCCAGTTCAAACTTCCCAACCTCTTGGTCAAGACTGTCGTTCTTGTGTACTTCCTTATGAAACACCTCAACGGCTAACAAGGTATTCCATTTGTCGATCTATGGTGGATATTAGGACCGCAGCCATTTCTATTATTGAGCTGCTGCTGATGCTGCTTCAATTTATCTACCAGTTATATGGGTAGATAGATATATACGTGTGATTATTGTGAAATTAGAAGTCAATAACTTCTTTCAAATCTTCACGGGTTGTTTCTACTCTTTCTAGTATTTTGTCTGCCCTGAACCACCCCCCTCCCCCCTTTCGTGGTCTTTAAACTTTTAAGCTTAGTTGAAGTGTGTGACCATCTCATCTAAAATCTTAAGTTTTCAGAGCGAGCACACTTTTTATTATTTCATTGTATTCTCAACAACCTTTTTTTTGGAACTACGCTCCCTTAGAAACGTTCTAGAATCAGAAGTCCATGATTTTGCACTATATATGTCAGCAGGTGCCCATCTCCTTCTACTGCGGTTCATTCTGGCATTCAGCAGGGGAGATCTGATGATCATACAGGAACAAGTTTGAGTAACTTTCTTGAAAGTGACCATGAATCAGCTCCATCTCCTCATTATGCGGCTCTAGAGAAAATTTCCGCAAATTCAAGAGCATTGGTTCCACTAACTGCAGTAAATGCAGAAGCCTTGTCTGCAGTCCCATTGCGGAAGCCCAAGCGATCCGAGGCCACACAACGTCGAATCCGTAGACCTTTTTCTGTCTCTGAAGTGGAAGCACTTGTTCAAGCTGTTGAGAAGCTTGGAACAGGAAGGTATGTTTAGTAAAACCATAATTCAAGGTACGGCTATCCATACACCTTCCGCTTACCTCTTGAGTTCTCTTTCACTTTTTTCAGTTATTGTCTTATCGTTTTGCAGATGGCGTGACGTTAAACTTCGAGCTTTTGATAATGCCAAACATAGAACTTATGTTGATTTGAAGGTATAACATGTCAATCAATTGACTTTTAAAGTGGCATACTTGCATGATGTACTTCATTTCCATTACATCTACATTACTTAACAAAACCTTCTGCGAATGAGCTGAACACATAGTAATCGCATGATATGGAATTTGATTGATGGTTACCATTCAGGACAAATGGAAAACTCTGGTGCACACAGCAAGAATATCCCCTCAGCAAAGGAGGGGCGAGCCCGTGCCACAAGAGCTCTTAGACAGGGTCCTCACCGCTCACGCTTACTGGTCACAACAGCAAGCCAAGCAACAGATGAAACAGCCATCGGAGACTTACCTTCTTCTCTAGGAACGTCGTGGAAGTGGCCGGGGAGTAAATAAGAGTTTAGATTATTTTGTTGAGTGTAAAAGGTGTTATGTTAATAAAAGTAATACCAGGGAAAGTCAAGTTCCTTCCCAAGAGGAGTTGAAGCTGCTCTTGTAAATGTTTTGATAGAATAAAGTGTTTTGCTAACAGAATTTTTTTTTGTACTAAATGCTTCTTTTCTTGGAAAGAAGTTCTTTCTGATTCTGAGGTAAGGGTGTTGTATTTTGTAGTTTATTTGTCCCTTCAATTAGAAAAGGGAAATGTAGTTGATTGTAAAACTTATCATAATATAATTCTTCTGTTTTTTGGACATGAATATTAATTTTGAGATTTTAGATACAACTATTATTTGTATTTCTTTTGGTTCATCTTGTGTACTAGTAATATTACTGTTAAAGGGTATGGTGGATGTTAGAGATTTCTATGTTTTGAGTTTGAGCTTCGAGTTTCTCATCAAAAACTTGATCACTTTTAAATTTTATTCTTAAGAAATATACTAATATATTTTTATTTAAATAATTATTTATCTATTTTAAAAATATTTTACTTCTATTAGTTATAAGTTCAATATCAATTGATTTGAAAAATAAAAATAACTTCTTTTTAATTATTAGATATTTAGACATAAGGATAAATGTGGTCCCTAAAATAGACGGTCAGGGTGAAATTGATCCCAAAACTTAACGAAACATAAGCCCGATATTTTCGATAAGTCAAAGCTATTTTTGTAAAATAAATAAATAAATTGTTGTCACTTTTAAATCATTTTTTTTAGTAATAGACTTATTATATCCTTAAAAAAAGAAGTTGTCGGTTAGATATGTCTCAAATCTATCTTGTATATTTATTCATTAATTTTAGAGTTGTCAAAAGGGTCAACTCAATCCCACCCGGTCCAAGCCTCGTGGGCCAAGAAATTTAAAGGGCTAAGACGGGATAGCTCTTCATTTGAAAAGACCTGAAAATGCTCAACCCAACCCTAGAAGGGCTAAGGGCTGGGGCGGGCTAGCCTTTTTTTTTCAAACTTAAAATTCCAGAACATCAAGAAAATGAGAAGATTTCCAAATCAAAAATGGCAAACAATGGTGTTGTTTCAATAACACTAGCAAAAAATCTAGTGTAATTAGTATGTATCTAGGATACTAGATATGCGAGATACATGTATCTGGTGTGATGCATCCAAGATACGTGAGCGAGATAAGCGAGTGGCAAGCGAGATGGGAGGGAAACGAGGGCACAGAATTTGTCTATGTATCCTAGATAGATGCGAATCCACTTGGGTAAAGTGTACTAGAACAAATTAACCTAATTTTGAGTCCATGTATCTGACGTACCAAAATCTGGTAAGATTCTTAATATTACAACATAACGTGCATTTAAGTAATTAGCTCATATACTAACGAGATTGTTGTAAGTTACCCTTAAATAAATAGTTTTTCGTCCATGGTCTGGTCCGATCAAGCCTCATGGGCCAATGACTTTTATGGGTTAGGCTTATACGCCTTATTTTAAAGGGAAACTTACATAAATATACTATAAATAAAAAAATATTTACCATTTATAGGAATTTTTTCACTTGATCATTTTTAATACATTTATAATACAGTTTTAATACATATTACAAAGAACAATTTATACATATAATACAAGTTTTATTGATGGATAATACATTTGTCACACATTTTAATACACTTGTAATACAATGTATCAACTTCTTACCAAACAAGCATAATATATTTTTAAAAACAGTTATAATACACATATATTGCATACTTAATTCACTTTTAATACATATTGCAGATTTAACATAGTATTGTTATGTATTACTATAAATGGTAATAAATAAAAAGTATCGTTAAAATCAGTAATTATTTATTAAAAGACACTCATCTAATATAAGTAAGTTTTCCTATTTAAATCGATTTGAAAATCCTATTCTATCCCAACCCTACCCCAATGGATTGGATTGGGCCGATCCCATAGGTTAAGCCTATTTTGAGGGCTTAATTTTTTGCTTCTCTATTAGTAGTATTTTTCCAACACGCATTACTTGTTAGCAAAGGATCATGCATGATTGATGATAATTGAAATCTTTATGTTTCTTTGTTTACTTTTAATTATGCTTTGACTACGTTGCGACTTGCGATGAATAATCAATACATAATTATTTGTCAAATAATATTTTTCACCAAATCTGAGAAAACTGGCGGCCAAAGCCCAAATGTGAGTATGTGACCATGGTTGGTCTCATATATTATTGAGATTGATGGTGGAGCAAGAATTTTTAATTTTAGGATTTTTAAATTTTAAAATAATAATTTCAAGAATAATATTTATATACTTAATTTAATATATTATTTAAATAGAATTTATTTAATATAATTTAATTTAATCGTATTCGAACTTCTAGCATCAGATCACTATAGTCAAAGAGATTCAATTTTAGAACCTCTCATGAAACTTCCGCTTCAATATTTTTACTAATTTTCTGTTAAGTGGATGAATAAAGCTTAACATACTTAATTGATTTGGTCAAATCATTATATAGTTTATTTGTTTTATCATCTGTCCCCTCAACATATATAAGTTATTTGACTATGAACTTAAATAAAGCCGTTCATGATTCCCTATGGGGCCAAGATATTCCCCCCTTAGAATTTAAATAATGGTATTTTTTGTGTGGTCATAATGGTAACCAACGTTAGACTATTTAATTAAAAAGTATATTTTATATAAAATATAAATGGGTAGAACGTTGTATCAGTCCTGAAGAAATGAAATGCAAAAATTGAGGTTGCGCATGACCAATGAATTTTAGAATCAGTTCAATTATGGAGAGATTCGATTTTATAACTTTTTTATAAATTTGTTTTTTTTAATGAGATATTTGCATTTTAATACTTGGGAACTTTTTTATTTTCATATATAAATTTTTTTTTTCTATTCAATTGGTAAGTGATAATCCTTTCCACTCAAAATTTTGTTCCAATTGTTGTTCATAGTCAAGCAATGTTCTATTTTAGAATTTTCTAATTAAGTACTATATTTATTAACTTCATGTTTTGTTACTTTTGTAGTTTAAAATGATTATTTTGAGTGCACAAAATTTATTAGTTAAAGAAGAACATGCAAAGACTATTTATTGGTAAGTCTATTTAAAATGTGAAAATTAAAATTTTAAAATAAGATATAGAGTATTTACTTAATTATATACATGACAATGTATATTACTTAAATTCAAAAGATAATAGTGATTTTAATCATAGTATTATCAAGTTTGCCCATAAAGTGTCTTGCATATATTGTTTCAAATCATAATTTGAAATTTACAATTGATTTGAAGTTAAATTTTATTTGATCATAGTAGCATTTAAATCTCAATTTTTTTTCCTTATAGACATGAAAGACATAATTTGTGAAACCCATTAAAATTTTATCAATTCATGCAATTTTTTCAAGTTAATAAATCTAGTTCATAATAAAGTATAATATGCTATCAAAAAGCTACGCTAAAAAGTGTGACATTAATTAAATGAAGTTAGTTCAATAATAAAAAAAAGAAACTAAGTATGAATTGTAATGCAATTACTCTTTAATATAATTCTCCTGCGTATCAACAAACAATTTAATCTTTTTTTTAAAATCACAATTTAAATTTTTAAACTCTACATTTAAAAAAAATAAATGAGATGTTACTCTTGAGCTTTAAATTGAACACCAAATTCTATGATTAAACACATGCTCAGTATCCTGTCTAGTGTCGGAAGAATATGACAAAAAAGATTAGAATATTCAACTTATTTGTATAATACTAATATTTTTCTTGACTAAAAGTGAGTAAATATTACTATAAAATAAGTCGGTTCCAAAATTTGACCCGGCCCAATTTGCTTCCTCTCCAAGTATATATTACTTTACTCTTCTACATACAAACAAACTAATGTTGTATGATGTAAGAATATTATAATGTGAACAACCTTCTTCCATTCCTAACACAACAATTTTAATAGAATATAAAATCAAAAGTAAATATTTGACTAATTTGATAAATTATCGATGTGCAATCTCACAATTCTTTGGTTTCACAAAAAATATTATTTGACAATTTATGAATTGACAAACACAAACAACGTGTTTAACAATTAACACAATAACCTCGTATTCATGTTTTTTTTTTACATAGTTAATAAATGAGTTCTAATTAAATACCCTTCCGCCTCAAAAATTCTAATTATAACATTTTAATCACTAAATTATCCTTTAAAACGTGTTTAGTACATTTCCAAACACCAAACGGAGTGACAAAAGGAAAAAAACCAACCAGCTTCCGGGTCTGACCCGACTCGGTGGGCTAATTTGGTTGATGAACAAAAGATCACTCATCAGCCAGTGATGAAAGGCAATCCACCATGGATTTAATAAATTTTATATACTCATAATATATATAAAATGATTTTTTTATCTATATAAATGGAATTTTATTAATTATAATAAGGTACTTGTAGCATAATTGTAATCGGTTAATCTATACTAACTAAACAAAATTATATATAATTAAAATGAAAATAATTTAACAATATAAAAAGTTCTATGTCCCTAGTATATAGATTTTAGGGGTCGTTTGGTTGGGAACAAGTTATCCCAGGATAAGTTGTCCTGTGATTAGCTATCCTAGGATAACTTATCCCACCGTATATATGGGATAACTTATCCCATCACTATGATATAAATGGTGGGATAGGTAATCCCAAAATGGCAACCAAACAACATACACAATTTTTATTCCATCACTATTTTCTTATCCCATAACTATTATTTAAAAATACGTCACCAAAAATTCAGTGAGTATTTTATTTTGTAAACAAGGAAATCCAAATAGAAAATGTATCAAATTTAGCTATGTAGAGTCAAAATTAGGTCTATGAGTAAATATATATGTTATATATCTTACTCATTTGATTTTTGTGTTTGCTTCTGATTTATTTTTTGTGATTGGCATCATTTGCTGCCTTTTGTTTCAATGATTACTTTTGATTCTTCAAATTATTGTAGATTTATAAGCTGGATATATCATTTGCTTTCCTATTTGATGTCACTTTTGATGTACAACTACTCAGATGTTGTTGTTATTATATTAAAAATAATTAATGTTCTGATAAAAAAAAAGTAGTGAATAGTACTAATTTGATTCACATTATAATTCATAAAACACTATAGAATCTTTTAAATTATCATGGCACGCAATTCAAATTCATCTAATAATTCTTATTTTATTAACTGAGTGGAAATTTATTCGGATCCTATATTTATAACTAACACAATAAATCCATGATACATACACAGATACACGTAGCTAATTGGAAATAGAGATCCATAAAAGGGTGCTATATAATCCATTAAGGCAAATACATTGTTTAGTATATAACGCTAATAGTTTTCTATATAAGGGATTAACACGAGTATAATTCATAACTTAATTAACCATGATAAATTTGTATTTTCTTTATGATTTGACTCGAATTTTAAGAAAAAATAATAATTTTATGATCTTAAATTAAAGATAGGTAACATATACTAAAATGTCCTCCAGACTAAAAATAAAAATAAGAAAACCAAATCAAAATGAAAAATATGATTCGCTAGAAATGGAAAAAAAAAAACATTTATTAAACGAATTAAAATAAAAAAATTGAACAAATAAATTAAAACGAAACAAATATAATTTGATATAAATATTGAATCTCGTAATATTTTTTTTCTCCCTATGAATTGTGTGGATAGAGTCACCGTCTACTCGTTCAAGGGGTAAAATGGGACAGTGGGGCACTTGGCGCCGCGCTCTAAGAACAGAAAAACTACCAATCAGCTTGGCACAGTACACAGAGAGAGACAAACAAAGAAGATGAGTCGACCCGACCCGACCCGACCCATGAACACTTGTTGACCCATCAAGTTTTATCTCTATCACATTTTTACTTTCTTTTTCCTTCTCGTTCACAGAAGGTTCCTTTTTCTTGTCTTGGCTTAATAAAGGCGCAGCCTTGACTCGTGTGCATCAATTTTTACATACTATCTTCTTTGCTTGTTTTGCCTCTTTTTATTTTCAAGCGCCTGCCTCTCATTTTTTCACTTTTGCTGTCATCTTGTTTCACTTCACTCTAAGGTATGCTCATTAAATAAATATTGATTTTTGTTTTTCAAGTTGAGATTTTTCTTCATTTTTGAATTGGGTTTTCGTTTATTTCATGTTTTTTTATAGTTGATTTTTCCAACGAGTGGCTTATGCTTTGTTCCCCCTGTTTTTTTTTTTCTTTGAAAAACAAGAAATCATGATGTTTTGTAGCAGTTTGGTGTTTTGTGCCTGTGTTTTCTTTCATTTCTTGAAGTTTTGCAACTAAAGATTTGATCTTTCTTGTTCTTTTCTGTTATGTGGGTTGTATTGATTGCTTCTTTCTGTTGCCATTAATGGGTTTTAAGATCAGTGATGATTTTTGTGTTTGTAGAATTTGTATCTATTTGAGTATAAAGTTACTTCATGTTTATAGTTTGTGGAAAAAAATAGTAACTTTTTGCCTTTGGTTGTTTGTTGTTGGGCCTGCTCAGATGTTAAACCAGGCATGAAGTTGGAAAAAAAGTTGATTTTTTTTCAGTAATCTTTGGGTTTTTTTTTCCCACCATTAGCTGGTTTTTCTATTGTATATTCTCATTGTTTATTTTGACCTATCAATGCCTGTTTCATTCCTTTTCTCCCCTTGTGTGATGTTTTCCTTCTTTCTTTTTTGTTTGTAGATTGGATTGTACACAAACTGTTATGGATCCTCGATTCATTCCGTTGTCTGATCCTGTAAACACTCTCGAGTTCGAAGATCAGATCAATTTGTCTAGCTATGAGGGGTCTCTGAATCCTCCTCACAGTTATAATGATGACTATGTTGCTTTTGGTGTTCCGTATACTGCCCCAAGTGTAGACATTGGTAATTTCGCTCCATCATCAAACGTGAGCTCGGAAGTGGACTCTCCAGATGATCATGACTCTGATTCTCTGTTTAAGTACCTAAACCAGATACTTATGGAGGAGAATATTGAAGATAAGCCCAGCATGTTTCATGATCCGCTTGCTCTAAAAGCTGCTGAGAAGTCCTTATATGAAGCCCTTGGCAAGTCGTACCCTCCTTCACCCTATCGTACCCCTTATCATGTTGACCATCAGTCAGAAAGCCCAAGCCCTGACAGCATTTTCCAGACTTCCAGTGATCATAGTACAAGTAGTAGCAATGCCCATAGTAATTCCATGGATCCTCACTGGATTGTTGATCCTGGTGTATCTAGGTTGCCTTTGCCTGTGGAGAGTCATCCATCAGAGTACTCCATCCAACCTTTGATTCACAGTAACTCAGAGAGGTCTCATGGTTCTTTAAACAACATCAACAACTTGAATGTCCATATGGACTCTTTTTTAAATCCTAATGCTCTTTCAAACATGTTTACTGATAGCGAGTCTATCTTACAGTTCAAGAGAGGGGTGGAGGAAGCTAATAAATTCCTTCCAAATGTTAGTCAATTTGTTGTTGATTTGGATAAATATACCTTTCCTCCAAAGGTGGAAGAAGTGACCAAAGAGGCTGTGGTCAAGGTAGAGAAGGATGAGAGGAATCACTCAGATAATGGCACTAAAGGAAGAAAACATCAGTATCCTGAGGACAGTGATTTTGAAGATGAAAGGAGCAACAAACAATCAGCAATATATGTGGAGGAGGAGGCTGAGTTATCAGAGATGTTTGACAGGGTTCTGCTTTGTACAGATAAAGGTGAGACAATATGTGGTGATGTCAAGTCTGAAATGCCAGTAGACAATAGTTTAGATCAGAATGGACAAGCCCATGGATCAAATGGTGGAAAAACTCGTGCTAAGAAACAAGGAACTAAAAATGAAGCTGTGGATCTAAGGACTCTCTTAGTTAGCTGTGCACAGTCTGTTGCTGCTGACGATCGCAGGACAGCTTATGAACAGCTAAAGCAGATCAGGCAGCATTGTTCTTCCATTGGTGATGCATACCAAAGGCTGGCCAGTGTATTTGCTGATGGCCTTGAAGCCCGGTTGGCTGGCACTGGCACTCAACTATATGCCGCCCTTGCTCCTAAAAAGATTACAGCTGCTGAGAAATTGAAAGCATACCAGGTTTATCTTTCGGCATGCCCGTTCAAGAAAATATCAATATTCTTTGCGAATAAAATGATCTTCCACACAGCATCGAATGCCAGGACATTGCATCTCATAGATTTTGGTATACTATATGGTTTCCAGTGGCCAATACTCATCCAGCTTCTCTCAGAGATACCTGATGGGCCTCCAAAGCTTCGCATTACTGGAATAGACCTTCCCCAACCTGGCTTCAGGCCAGCAGAAAGCTTAGAACAGACAGGGAGCCGCTTGGCAAAATATTGTGAGCGCTTTAAAGTACCATTTGAATATAATGCCATAGCAACACAGAATTGGGAGAACATCAAACTTGAGGACTTGAAACTTGTAAGTGGTGAGACTGTTGCTGTGAACTGTCTTTTTCGTTTTAAGAACCTGTTGGATGAGACAGTGATGTTGGATAGTCCAAGGGATGCAGTTCTGGGCTTAATTAGAAAGATGAATCCGGATATCTTCGTGCAAGCTGTAATCAACGGATCTTATAATGCGCCCTTCTTTGTCACTCGCTTCAGGGAGGCCCTCTTCCATTACTCTACTCTCTTTGACATGTTTGATACTACCTTACCCCGTGATGATCAGCAGAGGTTGCATTTTGAACAAGAATTTTACAGACGCGAGGCAATGAATGTCATTGCTTGTGAGGGTTCCGAGAGAGTTGAAAGGCCTGAGACATACAAGCAATGGCAGGTCCGCAATATGAGGGCTGGATTCAAGATTCTTCCGTTGAACCAACAACTCGTGCAGAAGTTAAGGTGCAAGGTAAAGGCTAGATACCACCGCGATTTTGTGTTTAATGAGGATGGTAAATGGATGTTACAGGGTTGGAAAGGCCGGGTAGTATGCGCTAGCTCATGTTGGGTGCCAGCATAGAAGTATCAGAAACATGTTTGTTAGTCAAACTTTTAGTTCATAGGGATGCTGTTATGTTAGCCAAAAACGATGTGTTCTTTAGCTATTATAATATGTACATAACGCTGGCCCTAGAAGGGATTAGTCTTGCTAATCTTTGATATTACAACTCTGTTTCTCTTTGCAGTTCAATTCTTTTTCTTTTGTTTTGTTGGTTTATTTAATATATAACAGGATTCGAACTTGGAGGGTGGGAGCTTGTAGGATATGCTTTTAAAAAGACATGTGAATATGCTTTTAAAAAGTCCGAAAAGATAATGTCAGTAAAAGGATACTGTCATTGATTCTGAGACACTTTTTTGCTAATAATTGTCTCATCACTAACTTCAAGAATATAGGGATTATTTATTTCATTTTATAATATAGTTTTTAAACCTTTAATTGATACCTTTATAAGGAGCGTAACAAGGATTAGAGGTAAGGAAATCTGGTCCTTATAAGTTAAAATTATTTTTAAAAAAAATAATCATTTTGTATTCACAAATAAAAAGCTAAATTATTAAATGGTGTCACCAGCTTAATTCAAATATTTTCATTGACAACATTTTTATTTTTATTTTTATTTTGGATTTGTAGGCCTGTAAACCAGGAGATTTTAGTTGTTGGGGGGGGGGGGGGCGGGGGGGGGGGGGAACGAAGCTGGTCCATAATTTGATTGTTGTTATAGTTTTGTCAATTTAGCTTGACATAGAATTGACGTTTGGATTAGAAAACATACTTGTTTTTTTTTTAATAATTGGTTTGTACAGTGTAATACTATCTTCTTACATCGTATGTCGTCTTTTGTTTTGTGCTTGTCATTTTCTATCTATATGGTCCAAGCAATAATGCAATTCTGAAATCATTACATCCCAAAATAGATGTCAACAATTGTAGTCCAAATGCATAGTCAAGACTTTTAAATTTAAGGTCTCAATTTTTATTTTGGCACTTCAATTCAGGGTGTTTCCATTAGAAACTTCAATCCACGTCAAAATTAAAATGTATCATTTCGATATTCAATTTTGTATCCTTAATAAAATCGAATAATTGGTTACTTTGAATAGTCAACAAGTAGTATGATGGTTCGGTGACATTTGTCATTCAAAAAAAATTTAAGTTATATGCACTGGCAAACCAGATAGGAGGAGGGGTTGACTATTTGGTTACTTTGAATAATCAACAAGTGGTATGATGATTAATTGTCTAAAACAATGACATCCACATAACAATAAGGTGATTAGATGGATTTTTATTTGTTTCTTGTACTGCTAATTAGATGATTTTTATAAACATCTTTGATTCTTGAAATGGAATCGAATAAACACTCATCTCTGGCATAATTTGATTACTTTGATGGAGTCCTTAATTACATTAATCAGATGCTAATGGAAGAAGAGGAAGACTTAGAGAATAGGCCTTGTATGCTTCAAGATTCATTAGCTCTACAAGCTACTGAGAAATCCGTTTATGATGTCCTTTCTGCAGGCCAACAATTAATTCAACATACTTGTGTGGATTATTGTACGGGAAAAGGGTCAAAATTACCTTTGACGTTATGAAGATTTTAGTGACTCTGTAGAAGGGCCAACAAGTAGTAAGCATTTAGCAAGTTGTTCAGAAGGATTAGATCAGACAGAGTTGTATGATACAACACTACTTTGTTCTTCCAAGAATCCTGGATTTTATAGCGATCCGCCATGTTGTCAGAATACTGATGGTTAAATAGAGGAACAACTAGCTTATAAGCCATCGTATGTTGAATCAAGAATGCCAAAACGAGTAGTAGATTTGTGGAGTCTCTTAACTCAATGTGCACAAGCTATGGCAAATTATGATACTAGGATTGCCCATGATAAGCTGAAGCTGATTAGGCTACACTGTTCTCCATATGGTGAAGCAACAGAAAGAATGGCACACTACTTTGCTGATGCCCTCGAGGCTCATTTGGCTGGCACTGGAATAGAACTGTATACAGCTTTTGCAAAGAGAACAATATCTGCTGCAGACATATTAAAAGCCTTTCAGGTCAGAGACAACTGAATCCATTGCTATCATGTACAGAAAAAGTTTTTTACTGTCTTACTGAACTCACAAACTTTAGATCCTAAATTCGCCTTTGTTTCAGGTGTATGTTACAGCATGCCCATTCAGGAAGATGTCCAACATATTTGCTAACAAGTCAATTGGGATGCTGACAAGGGAAGCGACAAGTATACACATTATTGATTTTGGCATTCTGTATGGTTTCCAATGGTCATGTTTTATTCAGGGAATTTCCCTTAGGCCATCAGGACCTCCTAAACTTCGCGTCACAGGAATTGATTTTCCACAACCTGGATTCAGACAAGCAGAGAGAGTTGAGGAGACAGGGCGTCGACTAGCAAAGTATTGCAAGAGATTTAATGTCCCTTTTGAGTATAATGCTATAGCTAAGAAATGGGATTCTATACAGCTGGAGGATCTCAAGATAAACAGAGATGAGATGCTTGTTGTTAATTGCTTATACAGGCTCATAAATGTGCCTGATGAAACAGTATACGAAAACAGTCCAAGGGATGATGTGCTAGGATTGATTAAGCAAATAAACCTGATGTTTTCCTTCATGGAATTGTTAACGGGGCATATAACTCAACTTTCTTTGTAACTCGATTTAAAGAAGCACTATTCCACTTCTCTTCTCTGTTTGACATGATGGAGGCAACTGTACCGCGTGAAAATCAAGAGAGAGTGCTGTTTGAGAAAGTGAATTTCGGGAAGGAAATTATGAACATTGTGGCTTGTGAAGGTACTGCAAGAGTTGAAAGGCCAGAACCATATAAGCAGTGGCAGTAGAGAAACCAGAGAGCAGGATTTAGGCAGCTTCCATTAGAACAGGACATAGTTAAAGGAGTGAGGGCCAAGGTGCAACGGCGATACCATAAGGACTTTTTGGTGGATGAAGATGGTTACTGGATGCTGCAGGGATGGAAAGGCAGAGTTATATATGCTCTCTCTTGTTGGAAACCTGTTGATAATTGATCATTCAGAAGTCTAAATATATTTTAACAAACTGAACTATTTGATTTTATCATGTGTACTGGCACTTATATGGTCTCCCTTTGGTTCTTGCACATCTTTTTCTTCTCTGTCATCTTTGATTAAGCCTGAAACATTCATTGGTGTAAGGTGACCTTCTTGACTATTGAATCCTTGTTTACTCCATTATTTCAATCACTTGTTTTTGAGTGCACCAATAAGTCTCAAGGGGCTAGAACTACATGTTTCTTTAACAAGAACAAATAGTTCGATGCATTCACACCATTTAGTTCATAAAGCTGTAAGCTTGTGAACTTCCCCAACATTCCCAGCAACAATAGAGGTTCATGGAAACCACTTTTGCATTGTCTCATGGGCTTGTAGTTGTGGAATCCTCTGTTGTTCAACCATATCAGTGGCATTTGCAACCTTAATTTCATTACAGGTGTTCTTTAATGCTGCTCTGTTGTATATCTGTACTCTCTGGGATTCTTAGAGGGTAAGAACAAAGAGAAAAAAGCACAAAAGAATTCTTCAACAAAACGATACTCATCACTCATCAATCCTCCCATATCTGGAAAATACACTAAAACCAATATGGTTTTCAACATGCTGAGGCTTTAACAAGGTGTACTGTACAGTGCCAAGTTTGAATGATAATCATCGCTATGCTATTAAACAGACGAAATAAACCCTTCGACCTCAACTTTTGAAAGACAATTCAACAAGAAAAGAAAAATAAATAAATAAATAAATAAAGCAGAGCTAGACATTGAAGATGAAAGGTGGTTGCACCAAAAGTCATGGCACAACCAAATACTTAACATTCAAACTTGTTTCAGCAGTCATCATCGACTTCACATGCCAACATTTACTTCTAAGAGAAGTTTTTACAACTAGTCACATGAGAAATTTCACATCCACTAAGCAATAATAATACAGCTAGAGACTGTGAAATCAATGTAACAATTGTTATTCAGGTTAACAGGCAAAAGAGGAAACTAGAAAAGAAAAAGAGAAAGCAATAAATAAATAACTACAACTATGTGGTTGTCTTTATTGTGAGATTACACAACTAAGCTCTCACTTCAATTGCAGTCTTTTCCGAATAGCGAATGTCTGGTTTAACATCTTCCCATAACTCCGGTAATGCTTCCTTCATGTTATGAATGCTTTCTAGCGCATAATCTATGCCTTCTGTTCTATGGGAGGCACCCACCTATACCAAATAAGCGAAGTTCATATGCATATTAGTAAGAATTAAGGAGGATGAAAATGAGATTCTTTTTCATTGTGTAGCTCCAAAAGTTAGTAATTCAGCTTACCCACACAGTATGAAGGCCTGTGAGCTTAGCAGTCTGAAGGTTACGGACAGAGTCATCAAAGAACAGCTGAGGAAAGCATAAAGATAAAAGGAATTAAGTTAGAATTCAGGTAAATTGGTACAAGATGGAAATGCAGAAATCAAGGATAATTACATACCGTCTTCTGAGGGTTAATATTGGCTATTTTAAAGGCTTGTTCATATGCTTCTTCAAAGGGTTTGCAAACAATAAGAGACCTAGGGGATACTGGAAGGAGAAGAAGTATCTAGTATTAGTTAATGTATTTGTAATGTCTTGAGAGTGAAATGGAATTAGATTTGACAACAGACTCACCACCATTGTTGTTGTCTTGTACACTGCCGTTGTTGATAGGATTCACAGTCTCAAAGCATACAATATCATCAAAGCAGTCCTCTAATCCGAGCCTGCTAAGAACTTTTGCCACATGGGCTTCATTTGCATTTGAAAATATCTGTTTCAATCACAATAGATATACACATTACACCAACATTTTCATACAAAGTGAATACGGTCACAAAGGTACTTGTTTATTTGTAGTGCTATGGAAGAAGTATGTGTAACTTACAACTTTCCGAACAGGCAAGCTATGCAAAAGATTCCTCAGAACATGGTCATGCTTTAAAAGTTCATAAGGTAATCTCCCATGTACAAAACTGTCAATGAGGATTTGATAAGGTACTTTTCATTTAAAAACAGTATAAAAGACGTGTAAGGAAACATAGAGAAGAAGTGGTACCTATGGTAGTCGTCATAATCAAAGTCGTAACCAATGGCCTGAAAAAATTGAAT